CGCAGGCACAGCCTGGTACGCCGCCTCCACTGCGCTGCGGCCAACAGCCTCCTGGCACTCCAGTCTGCTGGACCAGGGGAGGGAACAGTGACGCAGGGGCTGAGCTGAAGGCCTGGGAGGCTGCACTGAGGCCGGAAGTTGCAGAGCCCAGAGGCGGCCCTGGAGTCTGAAGGGAAAACCTGGCAGAGTCAGTGCTGCCCTGAGGATCCTCCTCGAGGTTACACAGAAAAAGGTCTCCTTCATCAAAGCCTGGGGCACCCTGGATTTTTCAGTCTCTTTATTATTAATCAGCTGACATCTGCTGAACACTTAACTGTGTACCAGGCACCAGGGCAAGAGCTGAACACAAGCAAGTGTCTGTACTCAGCAACAGCCCTAGAGGCTGGTATTGTTAGGCCCACTGTACTGACGCGGCTCCTAGCGGTCATGGCAACTCCCCGGGGCCCTCAGCTCCTAAAGTGCTGACGTGGGACTTGAACCTTCTGTTATATGTGTGCTGTGGACGCTGTGAATCCAAGAGGGACACAGCACATGGCCTTGCCCAGGGCCTCTGGACAACCCCTTGGACACCGTAAGGTCTGCAGAGCGCCCTGGTGGAACACTGGCCTAGAGGGCTGTGAGCGCTGGAGCACCTGGGGGTGGCAGCAGGGAGGAGGGCTGTCTACAGGGTAGCTCCACCTCTGGGTCAGAAGGTTCCAGGCCACACAGATGGGAGTCTGGGCCAGGGAGGCCCTGTCGACTACTAAGGACGAGGACGGCTCCCAGGCTTGGACAGAATTAGCAGGAGGGCAAATGAGAACCCAGGGAACCAGCCACCCTGGGCCAGGGCTCCAAGTGCCACTCCCTGGGTGGCCTGGGGGTCATTTCTGGTTGGAGGCAGGAAACAGGGAAAAGAAAGACCATACCAGCAATGTCGTTCAAGGCCCCGGACCTCAGGTCCATTTCTGGACTTGGAGTCTGACCTTGGGCTGGAACAGAAGCAGAGCGTGGCCTCCGCACATTTCAGGAGAGCTCTGAACCTCCACGGTAACGACCCAGCAGGGTCAAAGGTCTGTCTACTCCAAGCTCTCAGGACTCCACACCAAGGCGCCCTCTCTCAGCCGCACTGTGGCATGTGCACGCACAGCCCCTGCCTGGGTGCGAATCCTAGCGCCAACACTTGCTAGCCTGTGTGTCATCTCAGGCTAATTACTCAACTTTCCTAAGCCTGTTTCCTCCTCTGAAACGCAGTAGCTTCCGCACAGATGCAGCTGCTGTGACACCGCAATGGAGCCCGGTGACGGGGCCAGCCAAAGTCAGGCACAAAGCCGGCCAGGTCTCCCACCCCCCATGACACAACTTTCATGAGGGAAACTGAGGCACGAAAGTTCCAGCTTAGCTGTGGGAAGAGCCTGCTCCCAGGCTGCGCCGCACTGTGACGGTGCGGGGGTCGGCAGCCCCGGCACCCCGGCTGCCCTTTGGAAGGCCCTTTATCAGTCTCACGGGCAGTACTCACGAATGAACGCTGTGCCCACAGGCCACCTTTCTCTGCTGACACAGGAGAATGGTATCTTTAAAGTCACTCAGAAGATTAGCACAAGGGCAAGAGCAGCCCGAGACCCCAGCAGGGCCCCCTTCTCTTCAGACCCTTCCCCAGGGTCCCTCCCAGAGCCCCGGCCGCATCCTGACTGCTCTGGGTGCCGCACCTTATCTTTGCACACAGCACTTCCTGCACACGTTAGGGGACAAGGGGAAAAGAAGCCAGGAGGGGCCAGGCCAGTGAGGGTGGGAAATGGAAGTAAATGTCATTAGCAACGCTCGCGCACATGCAGTCTCCATGAGGACGTCTGTTCCCAGAGAATGCGGCTGGCGGGCCAGGGGAAGGCGTGCCGCTTGCCCGGCCCGAGTGCTGTGGCCCTATCTTTCTGAGGGAAACACCTGCTTTTCATGCCGCCAGCAAAGGGAACAGCGGGCGGCCAGCCCGGGGCCTGGAACGCACTGCCCTGCTGACTTCCTCTGCTGGACAGGGCGACAGGGGCCCTTGCCTGACTGATGGGCGGGGCTCCAGGAAGGCTAAATCCACTCCTCCTAGTCACTTAGCGGTTCCCGCCCTGGAGTCCACGCCAGCACCTCCAAGAGGTACCCAGTGACGGTCTTCCTCCTGAGGACAAAATGCCGACACCAAACCACAACTGGGTAACTTTTTTTTCCATTACACGTACATATTGTATAGTGGTAAAATACTATTTTATTTTATTTTTTTCCCTTAATTGAGATGGGGTCTTGCTATTGACATACCAGGCTGATCTTGAACTCCTGGGCTCAAGCAATCCTCCAGCCTCAGCCTCTCCGGTAGCTGGGATTACAGGTGAATGCCACCGTGCCCAGCAAGTAAGATACGTTTAAACTAAGACCCCTAGGGCTACGGAGGGAAAGAAATAGTCTAGTAAAAATCAGTCTGACCTTGTGCTATTATACAGCAAGAAACCCTCCTCCAATTGGAGCCATGTGCTTCTCTTCCAGCCATCCTCCCCTTCCTGTCCATGATGCATCAGGGAGACCTTCTGTGGATTCAGGGGAGCCCTGCAGCTCAGGGACCCAGAGAGGCCACACCTTACTCATGGAGGGGACAGGCAGGCCCCACAGGCAGAGTACCGACAGCTCACTCCTCCAATCTGTTTGCACAGGCAACTTGAGGACCAGGACCACCCGCCACATCTGAGTCCTCCCCCATGCCCTAGTCGAAACACATCATGTCTGCTGGTCCACTGACTGTGGAGCCTACGCTTCAAACGGGCCTGTCCCCGAGAGAGCAAGTGTAGACACCACTGCCTGTTTCTCCTAACTGGGAAAGGAAGCAGAGGGAATGTCCCAGCGGGCAGGGGCCAGGGCACTCAACACATCCAGACATACAGTCTGAGCTGCTCAGCCGGTGAAGCTCAGAGGACATGCGCCAAAGGGTCCCAGACAGTCCAGCCGGGGACCTTCCCAGCACTGGTGGAAAGCAGCTCTTTCTGAGTTCCTTTTTGAGACAATAGGGGCCTCCAGAACCCTAAAGCCTTCCCCTTGAATACTAAACTCGGCTCTGAAGCCACACCAAGCAGTGGCACTCTGGCCAGATAAACCTCTTCTTGTGTACTGTTGTCCCTTCCCCCAGGATGTGTACACACCAGCCGCCCCGCCAGGGCTTCTCTATCTCATGGCCCCCGTCAGAGAAGCCCCCTCCGCTACTGGAAGACACCTCAACAGAGCCTTAAACAAAGTCCCTCCAGAATACCTCGGCCCTGGAGGCAGACTGAGAACACACTCCCTCTGTGCTTGTCTCTCTTAAAGAGTAACTCATTCAGACTCTGGCCATGCTTCGGCAAATGTCAAGTCTTTCGCTTATCAGGCATTTTCTTAAAACCAGGTTGGAACAATAATAGCAGTAAGAAAAAAAAAACTGGCCCTCACTTTTTAAAAAACAGGTCCCCAAATCTCCTCCCTTGAACTCCTAGGAGCATCACAATCACCAGGGGTGGGAGAACCTAAAAGCTTAATTAGCAGCTTTGCAACCAGATTAGAGAGACAGCAGTTTCAGTACACTCTGATGCAATCAACATTGGCAGGGCCCACGAGCCTGGAAAGAAAGAGAAGCGAGGTTTCTCAGCACCAAGAACAGAGCCCCCACCCCCTTAGAGCCCCAGCAGAGAGACACACATGCACCCCAAATCCCAGGCTGCAAGGCTCACTACTACTGGGTGTTCTAGAAGAAAGGGACGCAGGAACATTTGCAAGTTAATGATAAACAAACCTGGTCACTGGTCCTCAGCCTCTCTTTGAGTTTGATCTTACTCCATTTTCACATTGGCAGGTGTGGACGCCACTCCTGACCTGCCAGGTACCAGCCACCTGCCCTCAAGCTCCTCCCAGAAAGCATCCAGGTCCCAAAACGCCCTGCCCTTCTACAAAAAGGGGCAGTGGCAGATAGATGAGCCAGGTCAGGCTCATCCCAAACCAGATCTTCGAAAATGCTCAGCGACATCCAGGCAGGAGTTTACACACCTGGAATGGGCCTAGCACCAATGCACAGCATGGAAACCTCACCCAGGGAGGCTGCTGACTATGGACAGCTAAGTGAATTTCCATTAGCCCCTAAATGTTTTAGCAAATTTCTGCTAACTTCTCCTTTTGGCTGGTTCCCTCACAGTCAGTCCTGCTGGACTCCACTAAGAATTTAGATGGGGGCCGGGCGCGGTGGCTCACGCCTGTAATCCTAGCTCTCTGGGAGGCCGAGGCTGGCGGATTGTTTGAGCTCAGGAGTTCGAGACCAGCCTGAGCAAGAGCGAGACCCCGTCTCTACTAAAAATAGAAACAAATTAATTGGACAACTAAAAATATATAGAAAAAATTAGCCGGGCATGGTGGCGCATGCCTGTAGTCCCAGCTACTCGGGAGGCTGAGGCAGGAGGATTGCTTGAGCCCAGGAGTTTGAGGTTGCTGTGAGCTAGGCTGATGCCACGGCACTCTACCCCGGGCAACATAGTGAGACTCTGTCTCAAAAAAAAAAAAAAAAAAAGAATTTAGATGGCTTTGAGAGGCAAAGTTTTTAAACACAAGCTAAGGCAAGTGAGCCCCAGGGGGCCAGGGTGCTGGCTGGACGACCTGGAGCACAGGTAGTAAGCCATTTCCTGTGCCCTCACTGTATGGCCCGAGGCCCTGTCTCCTGATCCTGTTGTTCCCAGCATGCCTCATGGGTTTGAAAGCATGACAGTCGCACAAAATTGGCTGTGGTCTCTCCTTGGCTGCTCTTCTCATCTGGGCACAGCGAGCAAGGGAGAAAGCAGCTCCTGTCCCCTCAGTGCGCGCAGCACTGCAGAGGTTAAGAGGCTGATGTAAAATGGGTTCTCACTTGGACCTACTTTTTTCAAAAGCCTTGGGCTGAAAGAAATCTCAAGGGCAGATCTGAACCAGGTCGCAGACATCAGATAGAAGGAGTCTGACGACACCAGTGCCTGGGGCTGCGGTCAGGGCCTGTTTACCTCTGCTGATGCGCTGTTTCTCCCCGGACAGGATCCCAGGAGTGTCAATGATGCTGATGCTGTCCAGGACCGGGTTGGGCAGCTGGGCACACATGAACCTACATGAGAGCAAAAGCCAGAAGTGAGACGTCAAGACCAAGTTATCACTGCTGCAGATGTGACAGCAGGGTTTTCTGGACTTTGTCTCCATCTCTGGCTTCCTCTCCAGAAGCAAGGAGTTCATAGGAGCTTTTCTGTCATCTCAGTTTCCAGGGGTGGCCACCAAATTGGAGGTACTTTCCTAACTGGGAATGCAACCAGCAGGCACGAACTGACCCACGCCAGCACTTCCCTCACATCTGCTTTCCCCCCAGAATTCCAGAGTTCAACTTTCGAGCTGCTGTTAGTGAAAACTGTGCGAGTCTAGGTCACCATGCAACTCAGAAGGGAAACAGGAGGGTGACACTCGGACCTTGGAACTCCAAGTTAATATTTTCAACTGCCTGGCTAAACTTCCACACGCCAAAAAGAGCTGGTCTCTTCCTTTTGCTACAAGGACCAGCCCTGCCCTTTCACCCAGCTGCAATGGGCGGCCAGTAAAAGCCAGGGGGCCACACAGGCTGGTCGACAGTGGACAAGGAAGTACAGACACATCACTCTCTGAAAGTCAAAGCAGGCCGAGGGAGAACAAGGCCATGGAGAGCTGGTGACTCATGGGCAGGGGCTCAGCTATGCCTGCCTGAGTTCCACACTAAGCTTAGAACAGTCCAGAACAGCAAGGAGCTGTCTCAGCTGACAGCAGGAATTCTTTATGGGACACAGAAAAAGCTCCTTTAAAAACTTCTCTGAAAAAGGTATGTGAGCAAAGAAAATACTGATCCATTGTCTGTACATACAGACTCAAAGCCTTTCCAATAGAGGGGAGGAATCTGAGCTGATTAGCTTCTCCTTTTGGTCCCTTCCCCCAAGTGACCAGTGGCAGAGGTGCTGCCTGCAAATGCAACAGAGCAAGAGCAGCTGACCCACAGGGTGAACAGACCTTGGACCTCACCCTCACAAGTGCCAGCAGCAGAGCTGCTAGGGACGGGAGCCACTGCAGAAGATGATAACCCAGGAGGACTGGAAGTCAAACTGGCTCTGGGAAGTAACATACATAAAAATGAGCCTGGCCAGAGAGACAACATCCGTACGACCCAGGAACAAGTTGCTCTGCAAAGCCCAGGGAGTGTGGCAGAAAACAAGAAAGGCAGCAGGCAGTAAAGATGCACCAATCCCATCTTCTCACCAACAAGGAGGCAGATTTTACCTCGCACTACAAGAGGGCAGTCCCAGTTATGCAAGGAGGAGTTTTCACAAGACCCTCTTAGGACACCCTGACTGCGCCCTGCCCCGGTCTGCTCCATCTGATTTTATTCTTAGAGCAGCAACCAGGGGAAGAAGGCTGGAAAGTCAAGTTCATGACTCAATGTGTCTCTTGAAGAGGGGCTGTATCAGCCAGAGAAAAGCCCCCTTTGTTGTGCCCTCCCCAGCCTGGTGGCACTCCCTGCACTATACACCCTGACAGGGCTCCAGGCCTCAGCTCCAGCTGATAAGAACCCCTCTGGCAGCGCCATCAGTGTTCAGGATGGACCCTCTGGAGATGCGGTGGTGGCGCGAAGGAAATAAAAGTGTGCTGCTTTCAGATCCTGTGGCACCAATGTTATCAAAGTGCCTGTTTTGGACGAAGTGCTCCTAAACCGAACTGTTCTTTTTTCAGGTAGAAGCAACAGCGGGCAGTAACTGGCCACGCAAAGGCCAGGCAGTGAGCACCGCGTAAACTTAAAGGGAGGCCTTGACAAGTCACCTGGGACCTCAGCTTCCTCAACCAACAAGGTAGGGGTTGCTGAGATGCTAAGATCCCCCCAGCTCTGAAACTCTGGGTTCCCAAATTCGGAGAACCAGTCATGTGCCCTGTTTCTCCTTTCAAAAACGGTCTGCCCTTACAATCAAAAGTGAATACCTAGGCCAGGCGCGGTGGCTCACGCCTGTAATCCTAGCACTCAGGGAGGCCGAGGCGGGAGGATTGTTTGAGCTCAGGAGTTCGAAATCAGCCTGAGCAAGAGCGAGACCCTGTCTCTACTAAAAATAGAAACAAATTAATCGGACAACTGAAAATATATAGAAAAAATTAGCCGGGCATGGTAGTGCATGCCTGTAGTCCCAGCTACTCGGGAGGCTGAGGCAGGAGGATCACTTGAGCCCAGGAGTTTGAGGTTGCTGTGAGCTATGATGATGCCCCGGCCCTTTAGCCAGGGCAACACAGTGAGACTCTGTCTCAAAAAAAAAAAAAAAAAGTGAATACCTAAGGACAGCAGAGGCAGGTACAGGGACCCTTCCTATGGCTTCCCAGTGTTCTGTGTGGAAGCAGAGACCTAATGCTTGGACTTTCCAGCACAGCAGCCAAACTTTCCACAAGATCAAATGGCTCTCCCCAGCTTACAGTTTGAGCCAGTCACCTATCTACGGGCACAAAAACGTTAAAACACAGGAGGTCTGGGTACAATGAACACTTACCTGGCTGATGCATAACCCTGACTCAAGCATAACAAAATCGTTCAAGGCTAAGAGGATCCAGCCTCTCTCTTCAGGACCCTTAGCCCAAAGGGCTGTTTGGTGTTTGTGTGGCCCTGACATACAAACACCCACAGCCATAAAACAAGAGAACAAGCTGACATGCCTGGAAGGGGCAAAAATACAGCACTGAAGGTCAGCTCTACGCACGGAAGCAGGCCTGGCACTGGCTCGCTGTGGGGCGAGCCGCCCCGTATGGCTGGACAGTGTCTGGAAAGGAATGTGGTCATGAAGGGCGGGGACCTAGGAGGCAGGATTCAGATTCTTTCCTAGGCTCTTTCCCCGACTGGAAAGGCATGTGGAGTCACTCCTTGAATGGGGGTGGCAGAGAGGGCAGGGTCTGTGAAGTCCTTTGGTATGTTCCCTGGGGGTTGGGATGAGATGCCTTGAGTTCCTTTAGAGAAAAGTGACTCCTTTTCCCACAGGAGCCACTGTGCTTCATTCACAGCATCATGAGGGTCTGAATCTTGGTGGATCCATGGGGAGGCAGGTCTTACTTATTTAACTGGGGAAACTGAGGCCCAAGTAGGTTAAGGAACATCTTATTGCGTCTACAGAGGTACTTGGGGCTGGAATCTCATTTCAGGGCTCCCAGTGCCACTACCTCGTGCTGCTTCCTGAAGCCCCTCTAGGCAGCACTGACCCTTTGAGAGCTGCCTTTGGAAGTGATCAAACCCCATCAGTCCCCAGCCTCCAGGGCTGCCCCAAAATTAGCAGGCCACAGCAGAGCCTCGTCGTCCTTCCTACACAAAACCACCGTCCCAGGAGAGGCAAAGCAGAGACACCACACCAGCAAAGGGAATGGCTAATAGTTTGTGCTTTCCTGGGACAGTGAGGGGCTGATTTGAATGAATTGGTGTGTCCAGTCTGAGGAAGGAGGTGGAGACCTAGGAAGAGCAAACAGGAATGCCTCACCCTCCTACCACGGCCTGGTTCTGAGGGGAGTAGGGCTGGGATCTGCAGGGGGGTTTGGGAGTTAAACTGATAACCTGGAAGATTCTGGGGCGACAGAAGTCGGAGGAGCCGGCAAGGCCCACTCCCAGACTCCCGGGTGGGTTTTCTGTGAAAAGAGGCAGGGCTCGTCCCAGGGAGTGGTCGCTGAGGGTCTCACCAGGGCCTTGGAGACAAAGGACGGCGGGAGCCACGGCCGCAGGAGGGTCGGGACCGAGTGCCCCGGCCGCGCCACCCGCATCCTGTGGCAAGGGGTGGGTACCTGTTGAGGAAGGCGTTGCCGAAGGCGTTGAGCTTGCGGAAGGGGCGCCGCGGGTCGACGACAAGCGCGTTGCCGGGCACCACGCCCTCGGTGGGGCCGTGCATGACGGCGATGAAGGAATCGGTGGTGGGCTCGGGCCCGATGCGCATCCCCGGGAAGTCCTGCTCGATCAGGTGCCGGATGAAGGTGGTCTTGCCCGTGCTGTACTGGCCCACGAGGAGCACCATTGGCTTGTTGTCGAAGTCAGCGTCCTCCAGCGCGGGCGAGTGGAACTCGTGGAAGCGGTAGTACTCCTCCAGGGGCAGCAGCTTCTGCGCGTACAGCTGCCGCAGCCCCTCGGCCACCGTCTGGAAGAGCTCCGGCTCCTTCTTGCGGCGGGCATCCTTGCTGACCCAGCTGAACATGCTGTTGGAGACGGGACTGGCTGCTGCGGGGCAGAACGGCGGCTGAGAGCTGGGCGAGGGCACGGAGCCGAGGCGGGGCCTGGACGGCCGGCTGGCTAGGGCAGCAGGCGGCAGCAGTGGGGCAGGGGGCGGGGAGCGGCCCACACTGCGCAGGCGCACGGCACGGCCCGCGGAGGCGCCCTCAGCCAAGTGGAGCGCGCGCCCGGCCAAGCTCCCTTTATAGGATCGGTCCAGCGATCCGGCAGGCGCCGCCGCCGCTTGAGCAGCGGGGAATGGGGAGGGAAGGAAGGAGCCCCCCAGGCCCCGCCCCTTAGCTCCTTGCCACGTCCTCCCCTCCTCCGCCTCCCATTGGCTGATTCCAAATCTCGCGAGCCCCTGGTCGGGGTGCCGTGGCAACTGCACCTGTTTCGCCCCGCCCCTCAAGGGGCTGCTCGCGGAAGTGGTGCGGTTGGGAAGGCGGGGAGCGGCCCCTCGCGCGGTGAGGTCCAGGGGCTTAGGTGCTTTCCAGTACTCGTGAGCCCCCCGCACCCCGCACGTTGGCTCCGCAAGAACCCAGTTAGACACCCTAGCTCCTTGACTAGGCGCCCCACCCACAGTTGCCCTCGTGAACCGTCCTCCTCCCAGCGGCTCAGAATCCCCGGAAGCATCGGAGGCCCCGGGGTCGCGGCACCTCTTCTCCTTCGCGCTTCCCTGACACACATTTCTCTCGTCCCTTCATCTTTTATCTGCTTTGCAGAGGGGAATACAGGAAAGAGAGAGGTAGCAGGGGAAGCTGAGGGAGTAGAAAATCCCAGGTGGGGTGGTGACCAGGAAAAGAAAAATGGGGAGGGAGAAGGAGCCCATGGGGAAAGTCTGACTGACAGCAAAAGGCCTGACCTCGCCTCAGGCCGACGGGGCTGGGATTGGGAGAGGGACACAAACGGTGGAGGACATACGTGACATTTGACGTGTAGGGGTGAAGAGAGGGCTCCCCCAGAGAGGCTGCAACTGTGGCAGGGCGGGAGATCATAAAGAGGAAGTTGAGACCCTCTGGCCACTTGGCGTTTTGAGGAAGTGAAATCGGAAATTCCCTATGTGGGAGAAGGGAAATGGGGCAACAGTGAAATCTTGTGGGAACTTGGGGGAAATTTAAAAACCCAAATACTTCCGCTTTCCTCTCGGGGTTACCACCAGTTACCATCTTTTACTCTGACTTATGTCCCACCCTTTCTTACCAGTTCCTGGCTGTTCCACTGGGCTCATGCCCCTGCCATCACCCCTGGCCACACATATACCCCCTTGGCTGTCCAGGCTGAATCTTCAGTAGGTGATGTCAGAGCTTTAGGGATTGTGATTGCTAGGTAACCAGTATCAGAACACCAAAGTGTGGGAGGGGGGCCCCCCCGGGCTCTTGGAGAGATCTAAAACGAACCTGGGAACTTGAAGACCTGTTGTCCAATTTTCTGGCTTTTGGGAGGTGTGGAAGCCTAGAGTGCTGGGTGCCTAAAGCCGGGAACAATGCAGTCTGGCAAGCTAAGGGGACAGAGGCAGGAACTGGATCTAGGTCAGGTGGGATCCAGAGAGAACAGAGTAGGAGGTGTGGTCACCCAGCCCTTGCAGGATCTGGCCTCTGTACCTTCTGAGGGAACAGATAAAGTTAGTTTGATTGCCTTCCCCTCTTGCTCCTCCCTGTGGAGAGCAGGTATCAGCCCTGCCTGCAATCTTAGGTCACTGACTTACTGCTTTTATTTGGGATTTCATTAACATTCTTTTCATCAATCACAGTAAAGTGCAGAAGCCATCAAGACTTTTTTTTTTTTTTTTTTTTTGGCATTCTCCATAAGAGGATATTGAGGCTGCTAGGCAGGGGCTGTCATCAGAGGCTGTGTGCCAATTGGTGACCAGGAGCCTCCAGGGGGCCCAGTCCAGACTTCCTGGGTCAGCCTTAGAAGCAAAGGATTTAGCTCCTACACAGTGGTATGAGGGATCCCCACCCTGGAGATGCAGTCTTTGGGTGGGTCTAGGAAAGAGCCGGGGATGGGGGGGTGGGGGAAGGGATCCTGAATGAGGTGGTTGTTCCACGTCTGAATGAGGCTGCTCTGAGCCCCGCGGCACTCACACTGACCCGCCATGGTTTTCACATCTCCCCAGAGCCCTGTGTGCTGGGAAAACCCAGCGCCAGAAAACTGAAAACAACAAAATGTTCCCGGGTTATTTATAAATGAAACCCGGACCCTGTTGTTATGTATGGCCACTTGACTTCTCCACAGAGCTGGAAAGACTGGAAGAAGAGCTCGCTCTCACCCTACTGAGGCTCAAGTGGCCAGGAATTAGTTCCTCCAATTTCATGGAGCCGGCACCCAGGTCCTGGTCAGCTTCCTTATCTTGTCGTGCCCCTGATTGTGAAAATGTCCTAATTTTCTTTGTGTTCTTTGAGTAGGATGGTTTCTGTTTGGTGGGAAAATTTTAAAATGTGAATGAACCATTTCACTTTTTTTTTTTTTTTTGAGACAGAGTCTCACTCTGTTGCTCGGGCTAGAGTGCTGTGCCATCAGCCTAGCTCACAGCAACCTCAAACTCCTGGGCTCAAAGGATCCTTTTGCCTCAGCCTCCCGAGAAGCTGGGACTACAGGCATGTGCCACGATGCCTGGCTGATTTTTTCTATATATTTTTAGTTGTTCAGCTAATTTCTTTCAATTTTTTTTAGTAGAGATGGGATCTCACTCTTGCTCAGGCTGGTTTTGAACTCCTGAGCTCAAACAATCCTCCCACCTCGGCCTCCCATGTGCTAGGATTACAGGCACGAGCCGCCTCGCCCGGCCCACCATTTCACTTTTGGTTTCTCTGCTGTTTCACTTTCCGCCTGTCTACCTGGGTCCAGGGCAGACTGATGGCGGCTTCAATTTCCCTTTTGTCTCAGAAACCATGTCCATCCCCCACTCCGAGTGTTTTCTTCTTCAGTTCACAGACAACATTCATTCAGTTCCCAGCAAATGCAGCCTTGGGGTGCCCCTGGCTCTCCTAGAGACTGCTCTCATCCAGCAGAAAGGGGTCTCCTGCAGCCTTGCCTCCCCTGGAAGCTCAAGTCATGTCATGGCCTAGTCTAGGGAAGTGTCTACAAGGTCCCCAAAGACAACTTTAAAAAAACAATAATAAAGAGGGAGTTTTTTTTCCAAATATGGCAGAAGAATCGGGCTGGGAAAAGCCATAAACACATAGGTTTCTCTCTGGGACAAGGAGTGGTTTATTCTTTCCACTGAGAAAGTTTGCATATAAGCACAGATTTTTGTTCTTACAGTCATCAGACTGCAACAGATCCATTTTGCCAGAACAAGGTAAAAAAACCGAGGAAATCTGTTTCTTTGCATGCCAAGATCTCCAGCCTGGCCAGAAGGGCATCCTTTCCACACCGCAAGGCCGTGACCTTGGGCTCAGCCTCTGGGGAGAGTTGCTGGGCTCCAGAGGCCTCTGTGGGCATCTGACAGCCAGGACATGGCCCAGTTTGGAGGTGACAGTGTCAAGATCTTAGCTGCTTTTAAATCCTGCTGAGAAAAAGCCTGAGGCCCTGGGGTGTCTAGTGACTTGCTCGAGGTAACCCAGGCTGAATGAGAAGGTGGGCCTTCGGAATCTCAATACCGTGCTCTGTCCACATGCTAACCTTCAGAAGGTGTGAGTTGGGCAGGTGGAAAAGCAGAGGGAGAGAGTGTCCAGAGTCTCTTTCCCAGGTGTAGGCTGACGTGAACTCCCTGCCCTGAAGCTCACCAGCCTTCTCTAGCCTCTTTGCTGCCCTGCAGCCTGGGGGACAGGCTTGCACATTTACCAGGCAATGTGCACATGTAGGTGCATAGTGCTTGCAGAGCAGAGACTTAGAGGACTCGGACACTTTTGGTAAAAACTATAGTCAACTGTCAGGCTTCGAAATGTGTGTCTTCGTCCCAGTAGCCTCTGGCTCCACCTTGCAGAGACTGTTAGGGCAGGAGCTGCAGCTGAACACAGGGCTTAGTGTTTACCTTAAACTCATTGGGAAGCCCAGGCACCATCCTGGCCCTGCCGTGCGCCCCAGGCTTTGCTGTAGAGAGATCGTGCACAGGAACCCCACAGGAAGTGGTTTATTATTCGGCACAAGAGCATTCTGCCTTCTACAGTGGTGACATCAGAGGCTCCTTGCAGGGTGCTGGGGTCCCCCTTACCCTACACTAATGAAATGGTGGGTGTAGCCCCGATGTCCCCCAGCTTCAGCAGCCTGAGAGTACAAATGAGCTGCACAGGTGTTGCTGCCTAAGTGACAATGGTCTTAGCCCCACTCGGGTGTGGGCCACAGGCCTGCTCAGGTTCCCTCCAGGCATTTCTAGGGGTCTCTGGGCTGTGTCTCGTGTGTGCACAAAAGCAAGTCTGCCCATGTTCTTCTGCTCTGGCTGCCTCTCCCTGTTCATAGTCTCTCCCCCAAGTTCCTCTGTGGCTGGGGGCTGCCCTGAGCCTTACCATGGGCGGCTCGCAGGCTGGAAGCTGGAGGGTGGTTCTGTCCCCAACCATGTGTCACACTCAGCCACTGGGACACAGAGCCCAGCCACTCTGGCCTCTGGCCCAGCACCCCAGCCTCTCACACCCACACCTCAGGAGGGGTCAGACAGCATGCCCAAGGCCACCCTTCAGTCCCCTCTGCTGACCTGACACCTCCTTCCTCCTTACCCCAAATCAAAGTCTCTGGGAAGGTTGCTTGACATGGTCTGTGATGATCTACACAGCTGTCCCCTGCCCACCTACTCTGCTGACAGCTATTCTCTCTCTCTCTGCCCTTTTGGCCAGCCACGACATTCCTCTGATCTGCATGTTCATATTAAATACAGAAAATGATGAAGGGTCATCTGAGAGCGGACTGAAAGCCAGAGCCCCCCCCCGCCAGGCCTGTATCTGCCCGAGCTCCATGCCTGTTCCCAGAAGTATCCTGTTGGGCAGAAACGCAGCAGGGCCCTTCCCAGAGTTGGGGTCAGGCCTCCTCCTCCTGCTCATCTGTCCTGGCCCTCTGCCCCTTGGTTCCCTGACCTCCCCCAGAAACACCTCTCTTGCCCTTTGGCCATTGTGGTAGGCAGAATTTCATGATGTCCCCAAGATCCCCCACCCTGGTGTACATACCCAGTGTAACCCTGGGAGTGTGAATCTGATGGACTTGCTCCGTGACAGGCTGTGTTAGGTGGCACAGTCTCCTTTACCCAGGGAGACTATCCTGGGGGCCCACCTGCTCTCATGTGCTCCTTGAAAGCAGAG